CGGGATGTCGATTCAAAATTCAAATTTTGCGCTGAACCTTATATATGAATTCTTTATAAATAATTCTTAATTTTTTTAAATATGTTCAATGATAACAAATAATTATATAAATAATGTATGTAATTATAAATGAATTCGGCTTATATATGATGATTTCATAGTGTTTGTTATTTGAGGTTATCGACTATTCCCTTACTATTGCTTCAATTATTATAACATTATGATACCGATACAGACTGTTTTATGACTATAGGTCAGGTATCATTAAATTTTAAAATAAAATTACGCTTTCAAAATTATATACAATTAGTAAACATTTGGGGTCGAGTTACTTACTACGTGTTATTTGTAATATACCACATATTGCAAATAACACAAGCACGTAGCACGTAGTAAATTAAATTTATCAACGAGAATATGAAAAATATCATAAAGAGTAAAGAACAATTAATTCTAACATTGTAAAGTGTATTTTTACTGTTTCTATACATAACTGAGGTGTTACCAAAGCGTCCCCGGCGTTACACGTCTCGAAAGAAAGATATCTGAAAGGAAGAACAGTCATACTTCTGTGTTTGTTTGGTGAGTGAGGTAGCCGGGGCCCACTTTATTAAAGGTGGCAACGCATATGCAACCATACTGGTGGTACAGATATCCATGGGCGGTGGTTGTCACCTAGCATTAGGTAAATCGCTCGTTTCATAGCTCGCTTGCCTCCTCACATAAAAAATAAAAAATAAAAAAAATGATAAACGAATAATAGTGTCTCACGGCGTTGACGGTGGAATGATTAATGCCGTATTGAATCGAATTGCACATCTGTACAGTGCACGGCACCTTTCCGCCTGGGGCACGCCTCGAGGTGTACTGGGATGGCGCTAACCCCGGCACGAACCGGAACGCGTAATTGTGGTCTACACGTACATGAGAAATCGCTCCCTTGGTAATCTGCGATTTTGCAGAAAGCGTACAAAGAACGAATGTTCTCCGATTTACAAACAACCCCACTGACGTACGAACGAATAGGGAGTGACGCCGTTTTCCTACAAATCTTCCATTGAATCGTCTCTTATAAAACAATGTACTATACTCATGCGTATTACAGCATTTTAGGGTAATGTTTGAGCTTCGACTCACGCACGAAAATCATTTGTTTAATTTGTACACACATCAAAAACAAAGATGACTCCGTGAGTATGACTCTGTAGTTGTTAATCTATTGGCTTCGGTGCCAGGGGTCGTGGGTTAGATTCCCACACGGTACAAGTATTTATGACCTACAGATGATTGTTCTGTATCTAGGCGTTTGTTCCCAGGGAGGGTTGACGTTAGATAGGCGGCCGGTCATAAACCACCTAGCCAAAACTACTAACCACATGATTCAGAGGCTGTGCTGCCTAGGTGGGATAGTGGAGGGATGATGAAAAATACGACTAAAGGCTTTATGCTACAAACATTTAATTTTTTCGAATAGCCACTGAACGTAAGAAGCGTGGTAGACCACGCCACAGCTTCTCCTGTTGCGGGAATGGGCAGGCTCGTCCTAGGAAATACCACGATGCCTTACAGAAGGCCGGCGTAAAGTGGAAGTGTTATAACTGTCGTGTTAACCCAATTTTTTCAAGCTTAGCAAAGCAACTGCAACGCCGCAGGTATTGCATCTAAATACCTCTGAGGCTCTTGCCCATAGACATCTGTCCATGGGCAGAGTTAATCATTTAACATCGGGTGAACAGCCTGCTATTACAATAGATATTTGTATCATTTCATAACTTATATCCAGTTTCCAAGATTAATTATCGGAATTAAAGTTAGCACGCTCCTTTGAGTGTCGATGTCTGTTTGTAATCAAAACCTTATTAGTTCTGATAAAATCCAACAGAATTTGTCGCTCTCCGAATTAACGGCCATTGACCGTCACGCCCGCTTTTATTGTATTTACAATTCAAATTCTATTCTCTTTTAAATGAGCGTCAGACTCAGTGATGTTTTTGTACTAGGCATTATATAGCTGTATTTAATTTTCTTTGATCAGCAGTGGACTTTTACATAAGGTTAAAATCGGCCTCTCGGTAAATAGACCAACAGAGTAATAGCAGTGTTTTGTTACTCACCGCCTATTAAAGTATCTCTGTGCAAAACAGACATCTCGATATCATACCTCATCGGTTTGTGAGAAAGACACCACAGACAAAATACTGCTGCATTTGTAATAAAAGTTGCAATAACCAACTCGTGATCAAGTTAAACTCACTGCAATAGATTAAAATATAGCGTGATATCGAAAGATAGCTAAATATTTTTTACAGCACAGAACTTAATGAACAGTATAGATTCATATAACACCAAAAATAAGGACAGGTTTAAAGAGATTTAACTGTGGATTATTTTGTAATTTCTAAAGGCGCACGAGGAGGGAAGACCTTAACTCAGGATCGAGTTAACCCTTAGCGGACGATCTTAATAGCCAATTGTATCTTTACAATTTCCCAATAACGTCACGCAATGGCTTGACTCGTACCACCCAAACGTAATGTAGAGCCTTTAACGCTAACTACGTTAGCGGGTTCGGTGGCGTGGAGCTAAACTTCATTGCCGTCTCCGGTGGCCTATTGCTTAGAATTGGGAATCGACCCATCACCCGTACCTAAGCCGAGTTGACTACAATAACAAATTTAGTGCGAAACTGAATAAACTTTCGTCGAAATCGAATTGTAAGGAAGAAGGTAACTTCTTTAACGATACAATCATAAAGGTAAATTAAAAAAAAAAAGCTAGAATATGCTTTGTGACCTTTACAAATGAACTTTACTTTACAGTTTTATACGTAAGGGTGATCTAAAATTGTTTGTTTTGTAAAATTTAATAACGTAATTATGTAAATGCTTAATACAATTTTAAAAAGTTGTCCTCTATAAGTGTATTCATTTATTGTCGCGGTTGTAACGACACACTGTATAACAAAAGGCTCGAAAATCCCTAACGCTTATAGAAGACCTCCTCACCTACCTTCACTGAAATGGATAGAACGGGTTTGAATGGAATTGGCTTGGAAAGAGATAATAGTACGCGTAATTACATCATATATCATTATATTAACGGTCATGTGGCATTAAACTTGTGTGTTAGTCTATTGTTTGATGTACTATATAGAGTTGTTATTTGCAAACGATCCATGATAGAGAGGGAAACAGCAGGTGATATGTTCATGTAATTCACAAGTAAAAGTAAATAGTTAATATTTTGTAACTGTACTACTGAATTGTTATGATACTAATTTGTCGGAATTTATTGCATTTATTTCGTTACGTCCCTCTTGTAACCATGAATCGACTGCCAAGTTTTCAAAACGTTGCGAATTGCTTAAATATATATAATAGTTTTAAGCTTCCACGTGGCCCCATATTAGTTTCATTTTTAGAGGATTTTGGAATTTGCATATATGTCAGGAAACTCAAAATGAAATAGAAAATGTATTTAAGCGAGTGAGATATTTGAAGTCGGTTTTGTTTTGCTTTACTCAAATTTTCCCTACGGTTTTCGTGGTTGTGGTTGTAATGTTACGTATCAAAAACATTACATATGCATGTAATAACTTTATCGATTAGGATGTCTATGTATATTTCGCTTCATCCTGGTCATCCATCAATTGTATTTTTGCAAGTCAATCTATTGTTTACTTAGAAGAGAAGCGAGCGGGGTCCGCACGGATGAGTCCGCCCTAAATTTACAAGTTCCATGGAAAATTACGCTCGTTTCGATTTCCCGCTGTTACTATCAAAAGGATTCCCGGCGTATTCTGCGGAATGTTCGTAGAGAGATTTATCACGCCCAGCGACTTTTCATATTATATTGTTGGGCGACTTCAAGGGACGATAGTTCTGAATCCACCGCGCAATATACATATTATGTACGTTCACTATCCTATTGTGGTATATATGTATGTAGAAATAATAAAAACTTGTTCGTTATTAATGTATATGGCTACATTGTTTCTATTGGAATCGGTTCTTACAGATCATAATAATATTTTATTCAAGTCTACAGTGAAAAGATACTCCGTAATCATAAATATTACTAATTAGTCAATTACAGAAAATTTGTATTACATCACGACACAAATCTAGATATATCCCGTATTTTTTTTTAAAAAAACATCGTCTCTACTTTAAGAAAACATTTCCTGTGTTGTAAGGATGTTTTACAAACATAAATTTCACAAGAACAAACATCCAGATGCAAAATCAACTATCTGTGGGTCACACAAATAGTTGTCCCGTGTGGGAATCGAACCCACGACCCCCGATGCGGAAGCCCATACGTTGGCAACTTTGCCACGGAGTCATCAATTCCGTATTCCCCGCACTAAGAGTCTAAGATCAACCTTAGTAGATTTTGAATTGCATCAGTATGGTTGTCAATATCTATTTCGAGTTATGTCAGAAAAGTCCTGGTAAAAAAATGGTCCGATATAAATATATTCTTCCATCTTTTTTAGGTATATATATCTATTATATATTAGATCTCACTGCTTAGTGGTAAGTTACAGTTATATATCATGTATTTTGTTCACCTATTTTCTTTGTAGTTTTTCTTTGTTCATGTTAATTTTTTTAATTATTATAGAAATATCTCTAAAGTGCGTAGATGAAGGTGATGGAATAAGTGTCTTTGTCGTCAATAGGGTTAAGAAGAATTGCGTGGACATTTCTATAATTTCGTAAGACGCTCGCAACCTATTCCTTATTCCGTCAGGGATCCAGTGGGGTGGAAATGCTGAAAGGGCAAAAGCCCACCGCTGTGCGTCTGCGGAATCCAATTTGGCCGGGGGACACCGCGTCTGACGAGTTCGATTCCTTATTTATTTACGTAATAATTTATTTACGTAAAGACGTAATCATGAGCCGAGATGAGTCTTTCCTTTAAGTAAATAATAGGGCTTTCGTTTCAAAGATTACCAATTACTTTGACGGTATTGTTTTGCGCGTTACTTTCAGGTAATGATACGAATTTATTCGGGCGGAGTTATTCGAAGGTTGTTCTATAAATGTAAGTAATAAAGTGTAATATAACGCCGCACAGAAGTTCTTAGTTTGGAATTCCGTTTTAGGTTGATAGAGGAATTCTGTTTTGAACGACGATAATTGTGTATTTATGATCTATCTCGTAATTTGACACAGAGGAGCCTGCTAATAATACATGTCTTAACAAAACGTTAACCACAACAACGATTGAAATCTTTATTTAGTGTAATATTTTGAAGTAAAACGTCTTTAGGCGCGTCTATGGGGTAACTGAATGCTTTAACGGTAGCAACTTACGAACGTGTTAATTTCTTGTAAAATTTTGACGTTTCATAAGAACGCGCAAGCGTCTATGTGAATAAAGATATTTTATTATTATTATTATTATTTGGACGACGACAATGAAACGGAAACGTGTTACGGCGATGACGCGTTTGTATAGCATCAGATTTTTTAATATTTATGTATCTGAAATTTTACAATAAAAAATATTGATAATTTATTACTAATCACTACATTAATAATAAATAAAATTAATATTAATTATTTTATTTTAGTTTCACTTCAATCACGTGTAAAGGTTACACGTACTCTTTTTATTTGGGATTTAAATAATGTATAGTATAGTGTTCGTGTAAATAACTATAAACATTCACTATTTTTGAATTAGTAATTTCTTTCCTTTGATTTTGTCCACGAGGAATATCTTTTTCATCCTTACGCTGATTAAAATGACATAGTATAATGATTAATGATACTTGTACTACAATTCCTTTACTTCCGCCTCTTAATGTGTCTGTGTTACGTAAATAACATAATAGCCAATAAATTTAATAACATTTCCGAGATAAGATACATTGGGTAACGTTATTATATCAATACGAATGTTAAAGAGATTGCAAGGTCTAAGGTTATCGCTCTCTCGTATTAATTAATTGTAAAGGGAAACTGAACACTATGATAACATTTACATGTATTTCGACATACCTTATCTCTGTCAATTAATTATTCGTGTGTAAATACAAAATGTTTTCGCATAAATTGTTTTTGTTGAACTCTGGTCACTAAAGAATTTCTTGATTGTTTTCAATTAATAGTATTGTGATTCATACTAATTTCTTTATAATTCGATTACTAACTGAAGACTCTTTTTTCGAATGAAAATGATACAATTGAAAAAATACTGGAGCATACATGATTAGCGATACCCATAAAAAATGATAGAAATTCGATGATAAGTGATAGATACTGGTTGTTATAAACGAAGTTGAGTTATGACTGATGTTGTAAGTAATGACCATCTATCATACTGACTGGGAGATATAACAAATGCCAGTGCTGGCAGCTATTTGAATTCCCCCATCAATATTAATATGTATTCCGCTTTCTGTATACAGGAGTTACGTTTTTTATTACGCGCAAACTCTTTCTCTAACATGCATAACGTTTGTAACATAAACATTTCTTTTCTTCTTAATAATTACAATCATCATCATGTTTGTGATTTTTTAAACGTCCCTAGCAATTGCAAAGCACGAACTATCTCTGTCCATCACCTGGTGTCTCGGTGGCCCAGTGTATATATATATATATATATATATGTATGTATCTGAACTATAAATAATATAAAAACCATTTAATTATTAATTAATACATTAATTGATGGCGCAGCTGCTAAACTATAAGCAACGTGTAGCGGAACGCGTGTACGATTCCTAAACATGACAAATATTTTTGTGACAGACAGATAATTGTTTCGGGTTTGGGAGGTTATAAACTAATAATTCAAGGAGGTTATAGAAGTTTGGCTTGATTATAAGTTGAAGGTAGAAACTGGCCCCTCAGGTTGAATTTTTAATCTTTCGTTAGGTAACATAGTATGTTCATTCGCGCAAGTTTGTAGGGGGCCATTGCGGGTATTCTAAGACCGTGTTACTTAGCAGGTCTATACTAGTTACCTATGGGTTTGATTACGTGGAAGATGCGGAGACACCTACATACTGCTGTATAAATAGGCAACCTGGAAGGGAAGAAATAGGGCCTCACAGAAGACCGGCTTCAAACAGAACTAATTTTTATTTGTAAAAGTTTAAAACGCGAGCACTAGTCGCTCATGGATATCTACAATTCCCGAGGGATTGTAGACATCCAAGAGGATAACTGGTACCACGCAATAGTCTCCACTGTTGCACGAATGGGCAGGTCCGTCCGGGTAAGTACAACGACCTCACAGAAGACCGGAGTAAAGTAGAAGTACATATCTGCGTTTTGTCTGGTGAGGTGGCTGTGTTTGGTCTTGAAGGATGGCAACGCATTTGCAAACCTACGGGTGTTGCAAGTGTCCGTGGGCGGTGGTTATCACTTTCCACATAAAAAAAACACTCACTTTATTAGGTTTAACTTATTGGGTACTAGTTTTTCACTAGCGGCTTCGCTCGCCGCCCTGAAATAAATGTATTTAAACCCTTTAAAACACTTTTTACAATTAAAAATATTGCCTATTTTTTTTCAGACTAGACCAGAGTTCCCTAAACTTTTTTTGTGTCGTAGACCCCTTGCCATGTTTTTCCGTGTTGGGTAGACCCACTACTTACCTGATATTGATTTCCTTTAAATTTCTAACTGTAGTGAAGTTTAGTGTTAAAAACTTAAAGTAAAAACACATGTTAATTTATACATTTATTAATTGAATTTAAATTAAAACTACTGAAATTAAATTTTGTATCTGTTATGTAAAATATACGTAACATTAAATAAACATAAAATATTATAAGATAGTATGATGTAAGTAAATAGGTACTATCAGTGTATGTGTTGAGATCCACTATCGTGGAACTCCATTTTCATTTCATGGACCCCCAAATTTTTTTTCGTTGACGTAGACCCCTTGCAGGTTGTCATAGACCCCTAGGGGTCGATATAGACCACTTTGGGAATCACTGCTCTAGAGACTATCTGTGTATCAATTTTCATTTAAATCGGTTCAGTAGTTTTGGAGTGAAAGCGAGACAGACAGACAAACGTTCCTTTCGCATTTATAATATTAGTATGGATTATTTCAGATGTGCCAGTGATATGGGCGGCGCCGCCGCGCGCGTGGCTGGCGTGCTCGGCCGCCGCGACGCCGCGTCGCCCCCCGCCGCCCCTCGACGAGCCCCACGGCCGCCTGAGGCCCTACTTCTGGCGGCGGGACGGCGAGAGCTTCAGCGCTAAGAGGTGAGCAGAGGCACCGGGAAGTAACCACGCGTCAGTGTCCGACAACGCCTTATTACTTACGGAAGTAATACCAAGACTTCAGATACGGCGGCGTTCGTCTTAAGCTGGTACTGGTTTGGTTCGGTGAAATATTCGCGCCGGACCCAATTATTTGTTTATACTTTCTTTTACACCAAAGACATAAAAAGTGCAAATTGCAAATGAATGTGAAAGGAAGTATAATAGGCGGTCTAAACGATTTGAAAGCGATTCTCTCCAGAAAAACATTGCGAAAATTATTTTTTCTAAGATACATTAAGAAGAGAGCAGAGTGAGTGTACATAAGTCAGTTATAATCACAGACTTTATATATCAATGAAATAGGCTAAAGTTTCGGGAAAAATAAGAAAAAGAAAAAGGAAGACATGAATTCATAGTTCAAAGTTATGAGCTTACAAGATGTGTTTTTCTGAAGCAAACAGATATATCGTAACAGCAACAAGTTCTCATACTTTTGGCCTTAAACGGGGTAGGCCTACCTACCTAGGAGGTCCGAATTAGTAGGACAGCCATTTTGGCATGCACTGGACACACAAGCGCCCGGACTAAGGACCACTGTGACAATCACTGCTTATTATAATCAGCTTCTGAGACAAGGTCGTCAATCTTCAATTCAATTAATCAGGAAAAGAGAACAACACGGAACTTTGTGTCGCGGCGAAAAAATTTAATAAAAGGCTCGCAAATCCCGTTGACATCCCACCTCGATAACCGAGAAATCCCCGAGATTCGGTATCGCGTCAACTCCATCCCGCACGGAGCCTTGATCTAATCGGCGGAATTATTTCGTGCCAACTTGCCAAGGGAAGATTGGGAGCTCGGGCGTTGCCAGATAAGAAAATTGTGCGAATAACTTGTGCCACCTAGCAGCGCATATCGTAATCTATAAATGAAGGGGCAATTTTTAATATGCGTTTAATTTATGTCAATGATATTAATTTTTATAGTGTTATTCTGTGCACTTAAGATGAAATTTAAAATTTATTGAAAAATGGACGAAAACTTCTCCATTTTTATATATTAAAACTTAGAATATATATATTTTAAATATCTTCGCCGCGGTGAAAAAGTCCCAGTGCTGGACAAAGGCCTCCAGGGGGTATCAAGGCATAGTACACCACGCGACCTCAATGCGCCAAATATCTTCAAAATATTTTTTATGATAATAATGAATTAGATTAAAGATTAAACTCTTAGTCCTTTTATGCCGAGACGGCCTCCTTGTTGCAGGTTGTCCTCGAACGGGACCCTGGAGGTGTCCCGCAAGCGTGATGGGGGTGGCGACGGGGTCTACCAGTGCGGGGTGCGCCACCAGTCCGGCATCGTGCTGGGCAACCCCCTTCATCTCAAGTTCGCATGTGAGTATCATTCGACCGCGTGGAACCGAGTTCGTATTCTGATTAAAGTCCTCTAGAACCTTAGATCACTGCGTCAATATACCGTTGGATTCTTATAGAAACAAATTTTTTTAAACCTCTACATTTAAACCACTACAGCAATAATGATATAGTGCTCGGGAAAATAAAAAAATTGTATTTAATAGCTTTATTAATAATGTAATCTGATCAATATATGTTGCGGTATTGTGAGTTACAGTTTACTAGAAACATGTATAACGCTTGCATACTGCAGAAACAATCTTTAACATAGTAGAAAGAGATACTAATGCTTCGTCCCAGTAGCATTAGACAAGCATTTAAACAGAATGGGACTATCGGAGAACCCTTCTGTAGATTCTGCGGTGATGACGAGGATACAAGGAGGACACGGAAATCCCGCTTAATATAATTTGTAAATGCGATTCCCTGGCTAATATTAGGAGTCGAGAACTGGGTGGGCCCAAGTTGGCGAGCAAGGAGGCCATGACTCTTGCCTTCGTCGCCCGTCAACTTCGTTACGGTTGTTGGTCTGGAGGAGGCTATCTAGCTTGAAGGGAAGATTATGATATATCTTCTAGCTCGCGGTGGTCGCTGGGACTTACTATCTAATTACTTACCCCTTCCACACAAATCATAATCTTAATCACACTTTTACCAAAAAGACCAAACATCTCAGGCTACGTACGAACTTGTCGTCCTACACCGGATCTTTCAATCGTACTTTAATCATGTGGCAATACTTATACTGTTACTGAATGTTTTACTATAAATTGTATTTATAATTAAAGGTTCTTATTAGTAATTAGTTTTCCGATTAACAGTTCCTTCCCGATGTTATCTGAACAAAGAAATTTTGCCTCCACTGATGTAGCGGAAGTTTACGTTAAGGATTAAGCAAAGATAACGATCGTGTTACAACGCCTCTCTCCAAATAGTACACGTGCATTAGTAAGAACATTTCAACAAGACATTGCCACCGCCATTAAGAATTCCGCAGCCGCGAACAAAGTCTGAGAAAAGTGCCATTTCTAACTTGACAGTGTTACGTGCGACTTAGAGCTAAGTGGCTTCTCGCATGTCGAATACGTGAGGCCTTTGATCTTCTCAGCGGCCCACAGGGGTAATTCCTGTTTGGGAAATTAGGTGTTACACTTTTCCTGGAAGCAATTTATCGTACTCCCCACTCAAACTCGCTTTAACCGAAGCCGGGATCAACCTGTTATTTGTGCGTCGAGCACGCGAGAACTTAATGTTACTTTAGGTTTCTATCCGTGATGTGTGTACCTTTGAAGTATTGGTGAGAAACGCCTTCTTGAGTGCTCTTTAGGAAAATCGACGCCTTTCGACGGTTAACATCTAAGCAACAGGCGACGAGAACTGTCGAACCGTTTTTAATTAGTAGAGTTCGTGGAAATTTCAAGTTATTTGTTATACATTTGAATAAGGAATTGTGTTTATATTATTATAACATCTAGTTATTACATTGTGTATTTTAAACTTAATTGGCATGTTCTTTGCGAGGTACATTTGGCAACGCCGTATTTATCTCAAATAGCTTTAAGTGGACTTTGCTCCGAATTTTCCGGAACTTCCCGTGCTACATTTGTGCCAGTTACGGTAAGCGCCGTTGATGGATGCTGGTGGCTCAGGGTCGTATTTATTATTTATGTGAGAAAGTGGCAAGCGAGCCAGAGTGAGATGTCAAGTGATTCGCCGCCCATGGAAATTTGCAACACCCGTAAGGCTGCCAAAGTGTTGTCACCTTTAATTAAAGTGGGCTCCAGTTATCTAATTCACCAGATGAAACGCAGAAGTGTAACACTTCTACTTTACGCCGATGTTCTGTGAGATCGTAGTACTTACCCGGACGGACCTGCCCATTCGTGCAATAGTGAACACTATTGCATGGTCTTACCACATTTAAATCCTACCATCGTGTTTTGTGGCAGTCTGTTGAAGGATCTATGTTCAGCAGTGGACTCCAGAGGCTGGAATGATGATGATAACGAATGGTGAAGTGATAAGTTTTCAAAACCATTATCAAATTAAGTAAAAACAAATATTATTTTAGAAATTTAAATTTTTTATAGTGCTAATCTCTGCACTTAAGATTGAACATTAAAATATGTGCAAAAAGAACGAAAAGATTGTCGTCGCTGTGGGAATCGTGTCTTCGGCGTTCGCGACCTGACGCTTTAGCCACTTGTACTTTTTCTACATATTTTAATAAAATATTATTTTGTCTTAGACTCTTAACAGTTCAGTGCAGTGGCTATCCGTCGTGTCCCCAACTTCCATACCATCTGGCTTCTCTTATGCGGAAGTCATTAAATTCCATATTACATTTTATGAATGTTGATGTACACTCTATAAATTTCAATGGGACTATTGAAAAGAGGTCGAGATTATGCAAACTCGTAATGACACGTTGATCCGTCATCTTTTACGCGCACCATACTCGACGTCGGTGGAAAATTATATCGTTGCCATTAGCTTTTCATGGGACGGGCGTTGCCCTGACAAAAGCTCCCTCGGTAGCTGGAAGACCAGCCTTTCACCGTTTTCATTAAATCCGTTCGCTATAAGCCCAGCCCGCATTCAGCCCGCGTCTGTGCTCGATTCAGAGTTAATTGGAGACCTCCATTGTTTCCTCGCTATGTGATACTTTAATTAAGCGCCTGCCGACTCAGCAATGGACAGCCAACCTCATCTATCGCGAGGATAATATTCAGTGAACTTTAGTACGTAGTTAAATTAATTTTCCTAATCGCGACCACTGAAGTGGATGATTAAGGACCCTAAACCGTTGTCTTTTAGGTACCTTTTACAGAAGCTAGGAAATGTCTGTCCATGGAATTCACGATAAAACGATATTTTTAAAGACAAATGAACACACACATTCGTCTACAACACACATTTATCTACAAAAATCTCATTTTAAGATTGCAGGGGCTGGCGGTAAAAATAAAAAGTTCTAAACTAATGAAGTGGTTTATGTAATTGCAATTTTAAGGTTTGATTTACCACGTGACTATTATTCTATATAAAGACTAAATCTTATCCTTTAAACGAGCAATTCTTGTATATATATATATATATATATATCTAATCGGAATCTCGGAAACGGCTCCAGCGATTTTCATGAAATTTAGTATGTGCGTAGATTCGGGGGCGAAAAATCGATCTAGCTAGGTTTCATTTTTAGAAAATGTCCTTTGATCCCTGTTTTCAGGGAATGAAAAATATAATTCGAATATGACGGTAAATTTCGCCGCAAGAGAAAATGTCATAATAGCTCGGTCGGTAATCGGGCGGCCCCAAAACAGACGGCCGTGGTTCGCGTCACGATCATTTACACATTTATTTTTTTACTTTTTTTTTCGATTCCAGATCATTGCTTTCTTTATTTTTAATTTTTTGTCGATTTGTTATTTCGTTATTTTTTTCCTTTTTTTTAAAGTTCTTTCTTTTGTGAAAAAAATTAGTTCATATTTTCTTATTATTACGCCGGTGAGATCGAAAAATATTATGCATATTTCATTACTCAGTAATTTGTATCTAAATGTAATTTCCAAAAAAAAAAAAAAAAAAAAAAACAAACCGAGCAAAGCTCGGTCCTCCGGGTACTATGTATTTCATCGTCATCCTGTGTTAAATATACAGCAATATAGCAATAAAAAAGTCTGCAGCATCCCCAACTGCACTCATTCTAGTGTTGTGATTAATTATAATTTAAGCTGATAAACTATAATTTTTAATATTCCCTCCATCTACGTCATTCGCGTTGAAGCACTTATAATAAATTTCACGGGGCCAGTGACGATATCGATGTTAACGCGGTATGTTGCTTGAAGGTCATCGCTGCTGAATTTTCTTCAAAGTAAAAGTCAAAGACAAAATCAAAGTATCTTTATTCAATATAGGCTTAACTTAAGCTCTTATTGAACGTCAACAAAAAATCTACCGCCGGTTCACTAACCTAGACCTGCACAGAGAAGAATCGGCAAGAAACTCTGCGGTCTTGTTCTTTTTTTTTCGTAATATATAAAACGTTATTATATGTTGTCTATGCTAACTTGGATTGAAAGCTATTCAAGTTAGCATAGACATCATCTCGGATACATAAGCTGATCTCATTCGGACTTGGTGCCTAGGCTCTAGTTCGTGTTAGTGTCTAGTAGTCACAGTCCGCTACTTAGCCAAGCAGAATGGCGGATTTCATTTCCCAGAAGTAAGTCTCTTTTTTACAAAAATCAGGCTGTCCTGAGATATTTTTTATTCTACATCCGAGCATTTTGCAAACAAGCTCTTAAATTTGCAAGACAATGGTGGATAGATGGAATGAGAAGATTCGATGTCAGGAAGCTATTGTTCTTTTTTTTTTTTTTATGGAGAAAAGGGGCAAACGAGCAGGAGGCTCACCTGATGGTAAGTGACTACCGTCGCCCATGAACACCTGCAACACCCGAGGGCTCACAAATGCGTTGCCGGCCTTTTAAGAAAGAGTACGCTCTCTTTTTGAAGGTTCCCAGGTCGTAACGGTTCGGAAAGACCGCCGGCGGCAGTTGGTTCCACAGAGTGGTTGTGCGAGGCAAGAAATGCCTTAAAAATCGCGCTGTTGTGGAACGTTGGACATCGAGGTGGTGTGGATGAAATTTTTGGTTCTGGCGTGATGTCCGATGGTGGAATTCAGCCGCCGGGATCAATCCAAACAATTCCTCACAACACTCCCCGTGATAAAAGCGGTAGAAGATGCAGAGCGATCCAACATCTCTACGTAGAGTCAGAGGATCAAGCCTTTGATCGTCGATAACCCTAGCCGCCCTACGTTGAATGTTCAGTGAACTTTTAAAATCAATTTCCCTAAAACAGAGCTAACTCGTTCCCAACAAAAAGATTGAAACTGGAAATTATCAGCGACGCGGGAAATGCAAGTTTGTGGTCCTCCGGCGGCCTCTATCGCATCTTTGAGTCCGTTGCCAGAGGGTCTCGATTAGGATTCAGCGAGCGTCTTCCATTACTCACCCTTATATTAATATCCTCCCTGATGTACGACGGGGGGCATCCTTGAATATATCATTTCTGTAATATAGAGTACGCGTATCGTATAATAATGGTCTGGTAAACAAATAAAATGCGACCACGCAACTGAACGTCCTAAAATAACCCTTCAGTGCCCATAACGATATCTTGTGTATTCGCCAACAGGACATCGTTAATATGATATAATAGAAAGGATGTTGTTCGGACATTAAATCGTTTCACTCGTTTCTAAATTAACTAGCAGGAAACGTTGTACACGCTTGAGCATATAAATGGAATAGTCGAATCATAAAACACTGGAAAAATGTCCACGTCTTGAATTTGTAATTTGTTTTATACCTAAAAATACAGTTAAAAT